GACCAATGTTAATGTGCTGCTCGGGATGTCACAGAGTCCCCGGAAGCAAGAAATCTATATTTTATATATGATATAACAATATTTATGTATTAAGCAAAAATATATAACATTCCCAGGCAGAACATCATGTCGATTTGACGTCCAACAGACGTCTGTTAGACATCTATTAGACGTCTCCGACGTCAAATCGACATCAACGTTCTGGCTGGGTTGTTACTTATAAAACGCTAAATTCAACAAAATTAAATTTGAATCAAGAAAAACAAACCTCAATGTTAATGCCAACCGTTCAGATGGTGAGATGCATTGTCGAACGACGTCCTGCTTCTGTATTGTTGGTCCAATCATGCCCAACAATTCTTCAAACTGAGTTGCACTCATTCGAAAATAATTATGAAATCGTAAATCCTCCAATCTTAATCTCGGGACCGACGCAAAGAAAAAACGGTGCTCGTTACGATTTTCGAAAATGGGTGCTACCCAATATTTTTTCTTCTCATATATTTTTTTCTTTTTTGATAAATGCATCATAAAAGCTGCAGCAGCTATGCGTCGCCTCTTTATGACCTCTGCTGCAACTGTAGCTGCCACTGTACGTCTATAACACTCCACGTATTCGATATACTGTCTATAATAATTGGAATAATCCATTTTATTATACGGAGTTAACTTGTTAGGTTAAGTAGCGTTAGCTTTTCAATGCTACTTTGCATTGCGTGGAGTGGGGGTAAAACGCCAGCTTTTCTTCGCTCCATGAAAAGGGAAGAGGCGGTAGCGTCAGCTTTTCAACGCTGCTTTGTGTTGTGATGGAGTGGGGGTAAACGCCAGCTTTTCTTCGCTTGCATGAAATTTCAGCTTTTACAGACGTGCGCGCCCGCCGAGAATGCCGAGCGCACTGGCCGCACTGGGACTGGCTGGAGTGGCTGGACACGTTCGATTTTTGAGACCGCGACCGGACTGGAGGCCTGGAGCAGCTCTGGAGAGCAGTGTCGCTAGACGGGCCGCTCTTTTTCGCGCACGCGTACTGAAGGGGAGGCCGCGGTAAAGTGTAACAATCGCTCGGACATTCTGTAAATACGCTCGGGGGCTCGATTCTTTAATTCATTCCAACGGGAAACGTATACGAAAATTCTGCTCCGACAGAAAGGTTCAAAGTCGATTGGTTTAAGAGCCTGTGTCCGCGATGCTGGAACTTGATCCAAGTTCTAGTTCTGAGAAATTTGCGGCCAATCAACTCGCAGCTATTCCATAAAAAGCTGCAAGTTGATCGGCTATACATTTCTTGGAGCTAGAACTTGATCCAAGTTGCAGCTTTTTATGGAATAGCTGCGAGTTGATTGGCTACACATTTCTCAGAACTAGAACTTGGATCAAATTCCAGCATCGTGGACACAAGGCTTAAAGCCAATGCGAATAGCTATAATCAACTTTTCTGTAATGCGTCGTCTACAATACGTGGAGTAAGCTTGGAGTAAAGAGTAAGAGAGAGCCCTAAAGCTTCTAGCTTTTGGTGTGAGGAAGCTGAAATACGGGCATGGTTTTTAAAATATTTGTAACACTAATCGATGGCACTTTGATTCACCGAGAGTAAACCTAAGAGCTGAAGTAGGAGTAAGAAATAAAATGGATTTATTTCCTTACTCCTACTCCTTACTCCAGCTTACTCCATGTATTGTAGACCAGCCTTAAGACCCGTATCAGACTACGGATTGGGATTGGGATTAGATTGAAATTTGACCAATCAGAGTAAAAGTTACTGAACTTGAGATTAGTAAACTTTACTCTGATTGGTCAAATTTCAATCTAATCCCAATCCCAATCCGTAGTCTGATACGGGCTTTAAGAGCGCAGGGGCTCGATTCTTGAATTCACATGGTTTTTAAACGCCAGTCGACTTTTAACTTTTCCGCGAGGACAGAATTTTCTCCTTCGAACGAATTCGATGAATGAATTGAGCCCCCGTCGGAAGCTTTTTCGGGGAGCGCAGGCTTTTGCACGACGCGAAGGAAGAGACCAATCAGAATGCACCATTTCCTAGGGGAAGAGAAACGATCGGGATCTCCCATTGGCGCGTTTCTTTGCGCGCTATTTGTGCACCCGGCTTAACATTCTCTCCTGTCAATCCTGCCGTTTCCTTCATCCTTCGTTCATCAGGCCCGTAGCCAGTTGGTCTAGTTTACACCGTTAAATCGGTTGGTGCGCACATCAAGTTGGTACGGACTAAACATTTGATACATCCCTGTTTACACCATTTCGTCTCAAAACAGGTTAGGTTAGATTTTTAATCTGGATAAAGTAAAATCAAACTTCTACCACAATATGCTAAACTGAACCATACTTCTAACCTCAATCTAGCAGGAATGCCGGGTATAATACGACCCGAATCGTAATCAAGCGTTTACAGCACCCTAAAATATTTTGATACGCGCACCAACTTGGTCTGATACTATAAGTGATTCAGGAGTATCAGACCAGAGCGCACTAAAGTAATCCGCGAGCGTTTACATCGAGCGAATCAAGCGATTTGATACCGATATAGTATTTGGTACGCGTACTAAATACTATATCGGTATCAAATCGCGCACCAACTTGGTCTGATACTAGTGATTCAGGAGTATCAGACCAGAGCGCACTAAAGTAATCCGCGAGCGTTTACATCGAGCGAATCAAGCGATTTGATACCGATATAGTATTTGGTACGCGTACTAAATACTATATCGGTATCAAATTGCGCACCAACTTGGTCTGATACTAGTGATTCAGGA